GCCAGCCCCGCCCCGGCTCCCGTTCCCGTTCCCAGGAAGGCGGCACACGTGGGCGCTTCCCCATTTAATAGCCGGGGGGGGACACGGGGGCGGCCATCGGCCGGGCGTCAGGCCTGCCCCGCGCGCAGGATCTGCAGCAGCACCGCGTGCACCGCCTCGTCCATGAAGCCCTGCCAAAAATAGAGAAAATATATGGATATATATGTGTGTGTGTGGATAAAAACCCTTCTTTTTGCAGTATTTTGGCCCAAATCCGGGCTTTGCGCGCCGGTTCCTACCTGGGCCGCCTGGAGCAGGTGGGTCCGGTAGACGGCAACGACGTCGCGGTGGGTTTTGTGCTGCACCTGGCCCGGAAGGAGGTGGGAAGTGGAGCCGGGGCGATGCCGGAGCAGGGGACACCGGAGCAATGGGGGGGACACCGGAGCGATGCCGGAGGAGGGGGGACACCGGAGCGATACCGAAGGGAGGGACACGGGAGCGATGCCGACAGGGGGACACCAGAGTGATGCCGGAGGGAGGGACACGGGAGCGATGCCGACAGGGGGACACCGGAGCGATGAGGGCACCGGGGGCGATGCCGGAGCGGGGGCGCCGGGCCCCCACCTGCAGGCGCAGGCGCAGCCGGGTGCGCTCGCCCCGCAGCGCCAGCACCTCCGCCGAGAGCTGCTCCGTCTGCGCCAGGAGCCTCTGGATCTGCCCGGAAAAATCAGGAGCTGGTGGGAGGGAAAACGGGGCCGGATTCCCCCTCGCTTCCAGCACCCGGCCCCGCGTTGTCCCGGCCCTCCCGGTGTCCCCAGCGTGGGCTGGGAAACAGGCGCTTTGGGATCCGTGTGTGCAAGGGATGTTGGTCATTTCCAAAGATGGAGTTGGTTTTCCAAAGAGAGGCCAAGGATTGGCAGGGAATGTGGATGGGAAAGGGATGAGGGTGGAAGGGGGTGAGGCTGGGAAGGGGGTGGTGTTGGGAAGGGAACGATGATGGGAATGGAAGGGATGGTGATGAGGATGGGGATGGAAAGAGGATGATGATGGGAAGGGACCAGTGATGGGAAGGGGAAGATGATGGAAAGGGGATGGTGATGACGGGAAGGTGACAGAGATAGGAAGGAGGTGGTGATGGGAAGGGGAAGATGATGGGAAGGGGATGGGGATAGGAAGGAGGCGGCAGTGGGACGGGGATAGGGATAGAGGATACAGGCGGTAGTGGGAAGGGGAAGGTGATGGGAAGGGGATGGGAATACGAAGGAGGCGGCAGTGGGATAGGGATAGAGGATGCAGGCGGTAGTGGGAAGGGGAAGATGATGGGAAGGGGTTGGAGATGGGGATAGGACAAAGGTGGTGGTGGGAAGGGGAAGGGGATGAGGGTAGGAAGGAGATGGTGGTGGGAAGGAGATGGTGGTGGGAAGGGGAAGATGATGGGAAGGGGATGGGGATAGGAAGGAGATGGTGGTGGGAAGGAGATGGTGGTGGGAAGGGGAAGATGATGGGAAGGGGATGGGGATAGGAAGGAGATGGTGGTGGGAAGGAGATGGTGG